CAAGGGGACCCAAAAGAGATACAGCTTAGTTGAGAAAAAAAGTAAACACAAAAACGTATCCATATAAATATTTTTTCTTGATAAAAAATTTGAAACAAAATTTTGTTTTGCTGATGAGCTGTGTAAAGCCAATAAGTACAGCGAGCTGCAATGAAAGTCTTTACTGGTAAAATAATAATTTTATTATTAAAATAAGAAAATTAATAAAATTTATTATTATTATTAATTATAATAATAATAATAAATTACTTGAGGTAATATATAACCCCCAAAGCAGCTGAGATCAAGGGAAAGAGGCAAAATAAATGGAGTGGCAGCGCACCTCGCTGCTGCTGATGATGCAAACCAGCCCCACGCCTGCATGCAAGGAAGCTTCAAACAAGCTTCCTCTACTGCATGCTTTACCTCTGTAGATGCTTCTCTAGTGTATGGAGTTGCTTACTGGCAATCTACCAAGGAGTAGCGAATGTTCCTATGCTAGGTGGTTTGGAATCTCGCCGAGCACAAGAAAGCTTGATTTCAGCATCAAATCCTGGGCACAGTTCATGTTAACCAAAAACAATTGAGGAGAAATGTAGGCGACTGTTCCGAGCATCGCGGTACGAAGGGCGCCGGGACGCGGAAGCGGCGGCGGGGTCCTTTGACCTATACTCCAGTCTTCAAAGCACACCGAAGAAGCACGACGGTTGAGAACTGGNGCGGCGGGGTCCTTTGACCTATACTCCAGTCTTCAAAGCACACCGAAGAAGCACGACGGTTGAGAACTGGTGCAAATCAGTACTAAATGCCAGAAATTTCTATCCACACTTGATGCGGAATTCTAGGTGGATACTGCATCGGAAACCACGACAAGGGGATGCAACCTACCACTCCATTTGTTGGTGCACTTTCTGTGGCTACGCTTCACGGACGGTAGGCAGGATACAAGAAGGGGAAAAATCATGGGCATAATAGGTTTCGCTCCTAGTCCCAATGGGCGTAAAATGGAGGTATTTTCAAACGGGGCAGACTAGCAGGGCAAAGAGTTTATGTGTTGGACCAGCTTACACAGGCATGTTCCTAGGCATGCCGTGGGTCACCCAGTAGAAGGCACGAGTACTTTCCCCTGATAAAGAGATAGATGTCGTTTTGCCTGGGAGTGATAAGTGTGTGCACCTTTCACCACTCTCAACGGCACTCGCATCCTCTCATCCTCTACGGTCAGAGGGGTACAAACTGTGTCCCAAAGAAAGCGGAGAGAGGAGGCTCCCATGCAGCGGAGAGGCATTGAAGGCAACGNGTACAAACTGTGTCCCAAAGAAAGCGGAGAGAGGAGGCTCCCATGCAGCGGAGAGGCATTGAAGGCAACGGCGGACGTATGCATGCACTCTGTCGCGGTGGTCTTCTGAAGACCATGACCTCAGGGGATTCAATCCACTTGACGCCCGAGGTACAGCAGAACCGGGGGAAATCGAGGTAAGACTTCTCAGATGTATTCCATGATAAAGAGCTACTAGTGAGCTGCTCATCCACTGGACGCTCAACTGCATCGCACCAAACTCATTCCCGGCGCAGCCCCAAGCTTCGTTCGGAGGTACCGACGAGCTCCACATATATAGAAGTTGAATTTGACCGGCAGGCGAATGAGCTTCTAGGGGGTGTTTGTCTCGGATTTGTTTGTATTTGTTCACGGATTGAAAGTATTGACGGTTCAGTGGAGGTGGTGTTTTTCTTGTCGATAGCTCGTTGTATATCTGGTTTGTTGGTTGGATCTTTTGCAGTTTCGGGTGTATTGGCCAGTGCTTGTGGTGTATCTACTGTGTATTTTCTTCGCTGCTCTCCTTTCAGCGTGAAATGGCGTTGTTACTCCTCTACAAGTGCCAAAATATTTCAGCGCGAGGACGCGACCGCATCAAAAGTTCTTTCGCATGAGGGGTCTGCTGCATCGGTAAGTCGTTAATTTATATTTTATAAGAAAAGCGGTTATGTTGATATACTATGTGATCCTACAACTCAAAAAGAAACTCCTTATTTATTTTTTTTTTATTTTTTCACGGATATACAGGAGTTGTTTTTAATGTTATGTCTCGTGCTGTTGGAGTCAATATAATTTAAGTGGTAAGAAGCAGACAAATAAATAAACATATACATGCAAGACTTGAGAATGTACAGAAAGTATATATAANGTGGTAAGAAGCAGACAAATAAATAAACATATACATGCAAGACTTGAGAATGTACAGAAAGTATATATAATGTGTTATTCTCAAAAGGGAGTAAAATAAACGGTAAACATCATCGCCAAGCATATAAACAAAGAAAAACAACAAAAACAAAAACACAAACTCTAGGAGCAAGAGCAGGATGATCTATACCTGGGGAGTATTTGGGTTGACGGGAGGCCGGGGGCGGGCCCTTTTTTTTTTCCGGCTATTAAACTAAGTAATTAATTAATTTGATTTATTAATTCTTTTGTTTAGCTAACCAATTAAACAAAACAAAAGAAGGAAAAGAATGGAAAGGAAAAGAGACGAGCGTATACAGCCAACAAATATCGGTAGAACAACAACACGCTGAGAACAAATAGGAATTCATTTCGCTGCAACAGCAACAGGAGCAGCAGCTCAAGCCGCCGTATCCTGCGCCGCTGCAGCCGAGCAGCTGCACGCAGCAACTGCATCAACTGCAGCAGAAGCAGACAAACAGGATCTAGCGCAGCAGGAGACAGAGCGTGCGGTGCAACCGCAGCAGCAGCAGCATCAATAACAACTTTCACAGCAACACCAGCAGCTGCAGCAGCAGACACGCAGCAGCTACAGCACACCCACTCCACCTGCATGCGAGCAGGGGCTCTCTCCCGTGAGGGGGGCTAGATGTACGTGGCCTGCCTGCAGCTAGCGGGTTTGTTGCGGTGCATACAACAAATACATGAACTAGACAAGCATCTACAGAGGTACCGCATGCAGTGGCTGCTGCTCTGCTACAGCTTCCTCGTGTGCAGGAAAGAGGCTGGTTTGCTTCAGCAGCAGCAGCAACAGCAGCAGCAGCAGCAGCAGCAAGATGAGCTGCAACGCCACCCAGGCTGCAGCACCCGTGAGGCCCCCCCCGGCCCTGAGCCTGGGGATAGAGGAAAGGGGTCAGCTGCTCTGGGGGAGAATTCTGAGCTCATGTCTTTGGCGTTGCTGCTGCTTGCTGCTGCTTGCTGCTGCTGCTTGAGCTGCAGCCATAGAGAGAAGCTGAGAGGGAAGCTGCTGCAGCAGCTGCTGCAGCAGCGAACCTTTTCTTAATAAAATATTTTTTTCAATGCAATATTTATATAAATAAACAATTCTTAAAAGAATACATCTAACACAGACAAAGAAAATTATTGTTTGGCTTACGCACTACAGCAGCAGCAGCAGCAGCAGCAGCAGCAGCAGCAGCAGCAGCAGCAGACGCCGCCAGTGACCGACTCATGCTATATGCATGCAGCAGCAGTTTCTGGTTGTATTTTTTTGTATTTCTTTTTTATTCCTCTTTTTTTTTTACATGAGCAAAGTGCTCATATGTTTAGAGGGATTGAATTGCGGTGTATCTGCAGCTGCGGTAGGTATCCTTCATTCTTTCTGTTTTTTCTTTTTTTTTTTTGGGCTCACCGGCAGCTCTTTCATTGATTTGCGTCGCTTTTAAGTTTAATTGTTTTAAAATAATTAATTTAAATTAATTGTTTTCCGTTTTTTTTGACTTTTTATCTCAGAAACATATCCTATATATATACGGCCTCACGCACCGGGGTGTAGCTGCATATACACTCCAGCATCAACGCTTTCTTGTTTCCTTTGCCTTTATATAAATAAAACTTTTTCTCCTTTTTTTTCTTTTTTTCTATACAACTGACTCTTCTCTTTCTGCTGCTCCGATGCAGCCACGCGGTGTATGCATAGACACTGCATGCGGAGGCTTTGCTGCTGCTGTTGCTCCTCAGCAGCAGCAATCTTCTTAGCAGC